CTCCAGGTAATTTTGAATGAGTCTGTGTTCGACTAATGTGCAGAAAAAGCACTAATGCCAAGTTGTCCATCATTAAAACCACAGTTCAATATTTGAAATTCTCTAATAAAATATTATGATCTGAACAGAGAAGAAATGCTCACACTTTCCAAAATTAAATTAAAGTGGAAGTCAAATAATGTATTCCTGACAGCCAGATGAAACTTATCTTTCCACAGTGTCATTATGATATGGAGTGATTAATAAATATATTTTAAAACTTTTCAATCATCACCTCAGAAGAAGATGAGCACCTGTCTAGAAAAGATAAAGGAGTAATTTGGAAACTGATTTGACCACAGAAAATCAGATGTTATTTCCTATTTTATTCTTTGAAAATTATTTCCCAGTGTTCATTTGCAGCTTGTAATTAATAAGACAAATGTGAGGATATTTCTGGGAATTAAAAAAGAATTGTGTTTTTGTTATGCTTTTCCTCAGCTCCAACCCTGAGAACAAAAGTCAGGATGAATAACAATGCTATTGCTCTGTTGCAGGGATGATGTATTTCAAAAGCTGGGTTCTTTCCAAGGTGTTATTAAAGTTCTCTGAAGCGTTGCTACCAAAAAAATAATGTCAAAAGAACTCATGTTATTTATTGTTTCTCAAAATCCATTGCTGCTTCAGGTTGTGCCAAAGTTAACTCATCCATTTTATTTTGGAAGTCATAGCAAAATGCTGTGATAAATGAACATAAAAGATATTAGTAGACATGGGTGAGGAAAACTTGATTCCAAGCTTTCATGAATCAGGTAAGAAGACTAGGGATTTTAAAACAATGATAACATGTAAATAAAAGGTAGATCCAAACAGAGCTCCTGTAGAATTTGTGACAAACGGTCTTCAAGTCTTTATTAAGGAGACAAGAAGTAGAGCTCAAGCCAAATTTTGTAAAGATGTTAGGTGAGCTTGATATTCCTCTAAAATTATTAAACCTACTGATATCCAGTACTTTCTTCTATAAGGCAATAAGTGAATATGTCAAGTTGTCCATCATTAAAACCACAGTTTTAATTAAGAATAGATAGGAAGATGTTACAGGTAGAAAGGAACACTAATAATAGTGGTAGAATAATGAACATTTATTCAATGCTTAGCCTCAGGATCAAAGATACTAAGAATTGTACATGGATTATGTCATTTAATCCCAACACATAATGGTAGGCAGCCTAAGATGTCAGAGAATTATTTTGACTCAGTCTTGATAATAGGATGAGCCCCTCATGGTAGATAAGTTAGAGTCTCCCTACCTCTCTTTATAAATGCATCTGAATTCACTGAATCACAGCAATGAAAGAAAGCTTCATCATCAATTGACCTCATATATATATATATCTGTGAAAAACAAGATGTAAAAGAAAAAAAAAATAAAAAATAAGACTAAAAGCCCCTATATCCACAGAAAGAAAAATCACACGCACAGAGAAAAAAGAGATACAAAAAACACAGGGATAACAGACACCTCTTTCTCAGTCTGCTGATACTCTCCCCACACATCATGACCTTACAATGCAGAGAAGCACATCATGACCTTACAAAGCAGAAAAGCAAGCTATGTGCCAATACTCTGATTTCTAACAACCCTATCCACAAACATGGTCCACTCCAAACAAAGCTTTGTAAAGCTTTGAAAGCTTTACACCTGAAATTTGTTTTACACGATAATTAACCACAAACTGCTCATTGCACTGCAACAAATTTCTCCTGAAATTCATCACAATGCCTTGTTACTCAAAAAGATCTATGTAATAAGATTCCACATTCTCAAAATAGTATTATATTTGAATGCTATAAAAGAGATGCACAGCACAAATTAATATAAATTGGGTATTTCTAATGCTGAAACTGGTGCATTTTTAAATAATTAACTAATTCATTCATATTTAATGCCTGACATCTAATAAGGAAAGATGATGAAAAGGAAGTTGAGCTTAAGGAAAGATAAAAACACAGGAATAAAATATAGGGGGAAGAAAATAGAAAGGGAGATAGAAGAATGTGTGAGGCATGGATTAGCACTTAGAGAAGATGTAGAGGAAACCAAGTGATGGGATCAAACGATGGTCATGCCACCTGGAAAATTTTTTGCTGACCTCAAGACTGTTGAATTTCAATTCATTGACAGTTTTCATAATAGGATGAGCCCTTCATGGTAGATAAGTCAGATTCCCCTCTGCCTCTCTTCAGGGCCTGCCACTGATTAATACATCAGATGTCTTTCAATGACATCTTGTTTCTGGTGACCAACCCTTACATCTTTACAGGCCATTACAGCAGGATCAAGTTGTAAATAGTCTGGAGGCTGAGACAATGTTTTTCTGTTTCATTAGTATCTTACCAAATTGCTCATGAGCATGGTCTACCTCTAGCCATACAATTAACCTGTGAGTGACACCACAAAATGACAAAGACCATGCTTTATGAAAAGCATTACAGTTCAATCTGCAAAATGATTTAGAGTTATACAGTTGCATGATTAGCTCCTAATTTTTTTTATGATAGGGGTGGCGGTTCATTGACATTAAATGCACAGATAAATTAATTTAACTATTAATATTAAGTTGATATTTAAATTCTCCAAATGTGAGACTAAGGAATAAATATACAAAGTTATTTCAAAATAGCATTTTCTTATCAAAACCAACTAAAAAAATAGATACTTTAGACAACATGGTGTTATCTGTTAACAAGAATAGCTATTATGGGGAAAATAATGAATATCAAAGTCAAATTTATCAACAAAAAAATTTTTAAGTCTGATTTATATTTCTTCTTATTTTAAGAAATACAAATTTAAAATGTGATGACATACTAATTCAAAAATGTTATTCACTTGCTTAAAACTCCATGCCACAGCTTACTGACTATAGTTTTAATTTGGGGCAACCATAGCCTCCCAGATGTCCCTTTCTGGCAAACCCAGGTGAGTAAGCAGAAATAAATGTAAGGATGAGCAGATTACTAACCTTATTCTAACTAAAAATCCTGCCTATTGCTTTATTTTTAAACTGCCACTAACATGCTTAAATGATAATTGCATCTTCTCAATGAGCACAGTTCCTTATTATTGGAATTGGCAGGGGGCCTTGACATTTGAGTCATCATTTCATTATGTCTATTTCTTACCCTGGTATACAAATTAAATAGATATACAAGCCAAATGAAATATAAGGAGAAAAATCTGAAGCAGTAACTTTAAACTGAATTAATTTTTCTCAAATATATAAAATATATAAAGCAACCAACACTGGTAATAATATATTCTAGCTCAGGTAGTATTTTCAAAAATATTAACTTTAATTCTAAAAGCCAAAAATGCTTCAAATCCTCCTAGCCAAATAGTGTACTTCTGTAAAACAGAACTGGCAGCTTTAATATTTCCTAAATTAAAAACAGAATGATTCCAGTCTTAAAGCAACTATAAATGTCAACAAAAATACACATTTAACAAGTTTCTTCCTTTCTAAAAGGCTTCAAAATGGATAGCAATTACTGAACATATATATAAATAATATACATGTGAAAAAATATTTAAAATGCCATGTGATCAACTAATAATAATAACGGTAATAATTCATTCAGACTAAAATATCCAAATGTGCTGAACTGGAATCCAGGTCTATCCTTAGATATTTTAAAAATCACTGAATTTAGATGATTAAAAATCTTACTGAATAAATCTCCTAAATCATCTGATTCAATCACATTGAATACATGTGCATCATTCTACTTTCTAAAATACTTTTTAAAAAATTTTCCATTAAATTTCAAAATTATAAAAATTAATCAATCATGAAACTAATGCTTTATAAAATCCTCAAAAACATCTTTGGGTCTGCTCTCAGAAGGCTATTTCCTCGTTTATTTATTTGCTTATTATTGTAGGCACTCCAGAATATGTGTACATTATCCATTCATTTAGTCTTTAATTATTTCTGCAACTCTTCCTTCCTTTATCCCATAGCAACCTATTTATTTCTAGTAGCCAATAGCTCCCCTGAAGTGATTGGAAACAGCTAAATAGCCTAAAATAACTTTATTTACTCTAATATGAAATGTTGAAATGATAGTCTACTAGAAAATGAATGTACATTCAAATGCCTATCATGGAAATTAACATTATTTTTCCCTTTAATCACTAAATGCATACTGACATAAGAATAGTCATAGCTTATTTTTCTTTACATTTTATTATTTGTTTTAATGTTGACTTTTTAAAATATTTTACCTGAAGGACAAAATGTTCATTGAAACCGAACTATTTTAAGATTTATTTTTGATGTCTTTTCATCAATTATTTATAATTTATAACCCAAAAAGTATTCAGAGAAATCCACCAAAAAATCCTACTATTCACTGTATTCTCTTAAATAGTGAAAATGTTCTAAAGGAATGAGTCTCTATTTTAACACACAAATGCAATTAGAAGAGAAATCCAGAGACAGTTATTTAATTTCCAACTTTTGGGGAATACATCATTCTGCATATTAAGACAAAAATAGGATGTAAACCAGATGTTCCTCGATTATGAAATTTAGAAGAGAACATATTAAAAGTATAGCTAGCTCTTTACCTATATTTATTTAAAGATAAGGCAGTCGAGCCCAACTATGTTGAAAGTCTATTTTTCCCATAGTTCGACTTCAATCAGTAGGAATATTCATAAGTTTTCATCATTAGATTTTAGTGAGTCCTTTCATTTTTGTAATTGCTATTGCTAGTATTAATAAATGCCGTCTTCTTATATGCTGAAATAAATTAATGGATGAGGCAGACACCATGCAAAATGGCTGGGAATGGGGCCAAATCTTTTTACATACATCCAGGGACTAGTAATCTTCTAAATGGCACATTAAGCTCTCTTGCCTAAATAATTACAAGTACAGCCAACATGTAATTTATTGAAATAATTATCCACTCTTCTAGTTCCCATCACCCATCTCAAGTCCATGACCACTTACCTTGTCTTTATTTTCAGTGCCAGAAGCCTCAGGCTTTGTTCTAATCACAAACGGGGTGGACAGTCGCAGCAGGACCCTTTCAAAGGTGGCATTAACCTTTGGAGAGACAATCTCGAAGCAGTCCTCAAACTTGAGCACTTTGTGAGTGTCGCATCGGAGCTGCTTCCTGAGACCTTCCCCCAGCTGAAGGACTGACATGTTGGGGTCAAACATCAAGTGGAAAGGGAAGGCCCTGCAGAAGGTGTTGATGCTAATTCTGAGGTCTGCAGGAACTTGGGAGGTTCCCTGTAGAAGGTTCTTCGTGATATTAGTATTTTCACATTCTCTGATAAGGAAAGTAAGACAGCTACAATTGCCTGGGTTTGCACCATCAGAGCACAGCTTCTCATTTGCAACCTGTTCCACTTCCACGTCCAGCCGATAGATCTTCTTTCCTGCAGCCTTAATCATCCCCAGCATTGCAAACCCCACAACATGGTGGGGGTGGAAGTAGTGGAGCATGAGAGTACCTTCAGGGAGCTCTTTGCATAGGAAAGATGGTGACTCCAAAGTGGCCTGTTTTCCAAAAGAAGTTCTAATGTGTTCCAACAAAGCATCAAAGCCATTAAAAAAGTCCTGCAACGTGCCACCTACAGCTCGAAGGACTCGCTCATTCTCATCAAAGCATATGTTAAAGAACTCCTCACCAAATCTTTCTTGAACTTCCTCAAACTTCAAACCTAGAGGTAAATGGGAAGCAAATGTTAGTAAAGTCAAAAATAAATAACTGAATTTATAGTTTTTTAAATGCTCATCAAAAGAGGTCGCTAGTGAGTAAAGCAAGAGAGGTTTTACTCTTGGGCACACAAATTTCCAATATAGGTTAATTCATTCATCTCGAGTCAGAGAAATTAAGTTTCAGTTCATCTTCTGTATGCCTATAAGATGTTAATGAGCATTAACTTTTTGCTTTTGTTTTTAAACAGACTCTGTTTTTCAGACCAGTTTTAGTTTTACAGCAAAATTAAGCAAAAAGTACAGATATTTCCCATATACCTTCTTCCCTGCCCCTACCCATGCATAGCCTCTTCTATTATCAACATTCCCCAGAGTGGAACATTTGTTATAACTGATGAACCTACATTCACACATTATTGTCACCAGAAGTCCATAGTTTACATTAGAGTTCACTCTTGATATTGCATATTCTATAACTGCAGTCCCCAACCCCCAGGTCCCGTACTGGTCCGTGGCCTGTTAGGAACCAGGCTGCACAGCAGGAGGTGAGCTGTGAGGGAGCAAGGGAAGCTTCATCTCTATTCACAGCTGCTCCCCATTGCTCACATCACCACCTGAGCTTCGCCTCCTGTCAGATCTCCAGCAGCATTAGATTCCCATAGGAGTGCGAATCCTATTGTAAACTGCCTGTGAAAGATCTAGGTTGCATGCTCCTTATGAGAATCTAATGCCTGATGATCTGAGGTGGTGATGCTAGTGCTGGGGAGTGGCTGCAAATACAGATTATCATTAGCAGAGAGGTTTGACTGCACAGAGACCATAATAAATCAATTGCTTGCAGACTCATATCAAAACTCTAATCAGTGAGTGGCAAGTGACAATGTAATAATAATAGAAATAAGGTGCACAATAATTGTAATACACTTGAATCATCCTGAAACCATCCCTCCCAGCCCCCGGTCCACGGAAAAATCTTCTTCCTTGAAAACAGACCCTGGTGCCAAAAAGCTTGGGGACCGCTGTTCTTATAGGTTTGAATGAATGTATAATGACAGGTCTACACTACTGTTGTATCACAGAGTATTCTCATCACTCTAAAAATCCTCTGTGCTTCCCCTAAAAGATCCCTTCCTTCCTGCTAACTCCCAGAGCATCAGCTTTTGAAATGCTAGCTGTCCATTTTTCAATACCTTATTTCACTTGCTGTAGTTATCACAAATAATATTTTTCTTTTTCTTAATGATTTCCCCAATCTTCATAGAATATTCAACTAGCCTCTATATTATGTCCACATACCATCCACATTACCATCTCACTTTTTATCAAAATGCATATACTTGGTGGAAATAAGTAGGAAACCTAAGTAAGAAAAAATCCCTTTATAAAGAAACATCACATTAATTTTGGTTTCATAGATTTGATGTTCAAGGCTTGCTGAGGAAGTCACCTGTTAAGATTGCTCTTCAACACATGTTGTGCTCACAATAATGCCAGAGGGAATTGATAATAATAGCATTTATCTGTACAGTTTGCTAGTGTGGAAGAGAGAAGACAAGATAGATGATACGCACTGCAATTTGGCTCCTGCCCTGATAGCAGTGTGGAAACTGCTCTCATAATTACTTAAACCAATGTGTACTGTTTTGTCTTTATCTTACTTAACTTTGTTTGCTGTTTTCCCTTTGACACTACTGGTCATCTCTCCCTCCTAACACTCTCTTCTTTTTTTTGCTTATCAAACTATATTTTCCTGGTTTGATTCTATCCATTTTCATTTCCTTCCCTAAAACTTCTTTCTATGCCAGATTTTTATATCACCATCACTATATTGTAATTAAATAATTGTAACACATACAAATTACATTTATGCCCACATTCAATTACAGTGTTCGTTACTATGAAATTTTATAATTTTGAAATTCTTATAAAAAGCTAACTTCAGAATAAATAAAAATCCCTATAATCTGACTATATTTGCTAAATTTCAGTATTCCATGTGCCACTGAAAATATTCCACGGATTATTTCTAAACTTTGAAGAATTGTACCTTCAAAGGACTCAGAGTCTACAAGCACAGAAGAAAAAGAGAATTGTTTCTAACTTGCATTTCTCATAACAGTTAAAATGCCTTCACGATTATTGAGTAAAGAACACAGATATAGAGTCAATACAGTAAGCTTATGTTCTATTTCCAATGCCAAAAATCCCAAAGAATCGCCCAGAAAATAACAAGTAAATTCACCAGAGGCAACAAAATAAAAACTATGCTGTGGTCAGCATTCTATTAACTAGAAATCCTTGCTGCTTTAAAAAGCACCTCTGTACTTTAAGGTACAATAATTACTGATAATTTTCAAGTGATGACACTAAGGAATACCAGATGCTAAAGTAACTGTATCACTAAAAAGAAAAAAAAAAAAAAACATTGTTTTGAATACTATACTCAAATACTATACACAGTAATTCTATATAAACAAAATTAACTAATAAAGATCTTTATTCCCATGACTGTTAAACTGCACCAGATCAGAAAAGAAAAAATAAATTCTTAGATGTTGAAAAATTAAAAGTAAGAAAAGATCACTTCAACTTCTGCAAATTTACTGCAAATCAATAGACAAGACTTCCATCTTAAACCGTATCTCAAAATTCAGAAAGCACAGATAAAGTAATTCAGCTCAGACAACTGCTGCAGCTCTGACTCCTACGATTGATCCAAACCCCCTACTTACAGTAAATCACATGAAACATATAGACAATGCTCATCTCCTCATATCACAGACTCTATGACAGCTTGACATTTGAGTCTATAAGAATACATTTCCTCACAGGGCAAAATTTATAATAAAACTGCTCTTGTTAATGGTTAAGCTAGAATTTTAAATTAATGTTAATTCACCTCTTTAAAAAGGTGAACAGCCTAAATGCTGACATCCTTTAGCTGTAAATGAAATAGAACCTGTTCCTCCATGACATGGGTCTGTTGTCTCTCATCTGCTACCCCGTCCCACCTCAGACTGTACATTTTGAGGACAAGGACCTTGCCCTATTTCTGTCCGCATACCAATCGCTAGCATAATGCATGGCACATGGAGAATATGCATTCTTTTATAGAAACTACCATTCACCTCAGTATTTGTTTGATAAATATCATCAACCTTTTAAGGTTATAGTTGTACCACATCTAAGCATACCAAGACAAAAAGACACATCCTTTTCTCGCATGGCCCCCTACGGATCATTAAATTACATTATGATTGGGCTATAACATAGGCCCACAGGAGTAGTACCTAGGAAAGTACAGAAAAAAAGAATATCCGCCTCTCCTTGGGAGAGAGAGACTTGAAAAAAAACCAGTAAGAAAAGCTAACAAGGAAGGAAAGAGCACCCCAGCAGATGAACACTAATGGAGTATGGACAAAGGAGGGAGGTGGGTGAGCCCAGCTGTGGTCAGAGGAGAGCAAGTAGAAAGTGTACAATGGCTGGGAAGGAGGAGTAGGGGATGAGATGCTAATTAATCAGCATTCCAGAAGTTGGACTTGACATTGCTAAGGCCAGATTCAAGAACACCAGCCAGAGAAATGTCGCCATGTCTTTAAAAGAAGAGTATATTGACTGAATCAGGCTGTCCCAGTAAGAAGGAAAAAAAAAGAGTGCCAAGCAGTATGCTAAATACTTCCATAGATGATTTAATCCTTTTAAAAATCCCTATGAAGATATTTTTAATCGTCCTCAGTTTACAGATGATGAACGTTAAGAAATATGCCCAAGTTCACACAACTTTGAGCCAGGTCTTAAAGTGAAGTCTGTCTAATACTAACTCTTGTGTAATAAGCACAGTATCAAAATAGTAAAACTTCTGGGTGGGCAAAAAAAAAACAACATGCATATCTTACTCATTGTTTTATTATTAATGCCTAGCATTCTGCCTGACTCAATAAATACTGGCTGGATATTGAATGAATTAACGTATCACTGAAGTCAACAGAAAGGAGTAACAAGGAACAGTCAATAGTTATCAAATGCCACAACAAGGGCAAGTAAGATAAGGACAGAAAACTGCCAACTGGATTTGTCAGATCGCTGGGGACCTTTGACAGAGGAACTTCAGTGCAGGGGTATGTGGCAGTCGACAAAGAGTAATGCGGGCAGGCAAAGACATAGAAATATTAGTTTTCAGGTGACTGAATAATATTAGGTGAGGGCTGCAATTACTTATTTTATAAAATTGTAAAAAGCATGACCTCCATGCTTCGAAAGGGAAATGTTGCCTTCATTGAGAACCAACTGAGTAGAGAGAGATTGGCATTGACTAGAATCGTGGATCCTCTGAGAAAGTTCTATTAATACAAGAGGGAAATCGGTATCTTTCTAGACCCAGAGACCATCCCTATCACCCAACAAGGGCATCAGTCTCAACTAAAATAACACAGGAGGAGATATATCTTTGAGTTGCTTAAACTCCAACCAAATAGCTAAACACCTACCAACTACTCACTTCTGTGAGCCAGACACATTCCATAATTTTTTTTTTTTATTTATCTGGCTTCATCAACCTAATATCTAAGTGATATTAGTAACTCAAGCACAACTATGTCTAATATCCAAACTGCAAAGACAGTTCAATAGTTTAAGGAGATGATTACCTTTTTAGAGAAATCATGGTGATTTTATGCAGCAAGACTATAAGGTTTTTGTCAACTAAGTTTGAAACCCAGATGACAAATAGTCTAGTGCCACATCAATCTACCAAGAAGTCATAGAAGTTGGTTTCTGACTCCCAGAGAAGATTCAAGGGTAAGTATCATACATGTTTAAATAATAACAAACAAGGTGGCTAAAAACAAATCCCACCACCCAAATTATAATTTTAAGGGAATTTTTTTAATCTGATCTATTAATAGTCTTATTTAAATCTTTGTTGGGTGAAACAAATCCTTTGTAGTTTCAGATTATTCTATAGTTTAGTAAGTCAGTGTTGAGATAATGTAATAGTAAAATA